TAGAGTCAACACCGTTGTGAACCAAGAGTCACAGTGGCATCATAACATAGCCAATAGTCTTACACGCTTCTTTCTAAGGCCAACACAGGCATCTTAGTCTTTGCAACAGAGAATTGTGCCATATAAAAAGACATAGGGGCTCCAAACACGATTGGAAATGTCTTATTTTGGAATGATGCACAAGGCCCAGCTGGACACACCACTGCTGAGCTGCTGCTTGCATCATGATGTTCTTAATATTATGTGTGCATAATGCCTCAGTTTAGGCAGCCCCTTGTAATATATAAGGGCTCAGGGTAAGAGTATCAGACAGTTATTATAGAGATCTCAGATAGCTGTGTGCATGACACCCCTCTGCTCAGAAGTCTCCAGCTTCCCACTCTGGGAGATCTCCAGTCCAGCAGATTTTATAGGTCACACCAGTAAGTAACCGTTTCCAAGAATCTAGAATAATTTAATTGCGAAAATCCGGGTTATTTGTCAAACAAAGTACTATATAGATATTAAAAAAAAAAACTTGCTTACTTGATCAATAACCAGCTTAGAACAAGACTGCATACAGTACATCAGGGTTCTCATCCTGGGACATGGTGGAGACGCCTTGGTTTAGTTTAGCCCCAGAGTCTGCAGTGATCTAGAGTCAGGGCAGGGACTGCACTCGGGTTAGAATACCTGGGTGCGAAGCAGCCAGTGGCTTTGTATACAGAACAGAGCTGCGAGCCCAGTGGTGCCCCACACACAGATCGCTCAGAGGCTCAGACCGGCGCTGCCTACACGCTGAGGCTGCTTATCCCAGCGGGAAGTACTGTACTGCACTGCTCCCTCGCTGTGACGCTCATACAGCGCGGCCATCGTTCCTTATGCGCAGCGCTGCCTGTCCCACGACGTTTCACGTTCTCCTGGGGGAGAAATTTCCCCCCAAATTGCTGCGGGGGAATGAATATTTAAATACCACGGACGTGCACAGGAACTGTCAGTTCAAGTAAGACCGAAGAGGAATAAAATCCTGTTAACGTTCAGCTAGTCGGTTTAAATTGACTTGCTGTCTTAACGAGCAGCTTTTCTTTTATTGCAGTTAATGTTCTTAAGTTGTTCTCACAGATGGTATGAGTTCACGTTTGTCACTGTAACATTCTTTCAGTTTGTATACGCATACATACAAAGGTGCTACAGTGTTACACGGTGTTATTTCGTTATATGAATGGATTGAAAGGGGGAGTTGTTATATTTTAGTCAGGGATGAGTGACAAATAAAATCTGAAGATGTGTCTGAAGGAAATGACGTTAAAATAATGACCTTACCTTGAGAATTAGTGTCGTTTAAAAGGCAACGTTTTCTCGCCCGCTCGCCCGGTCCTGAGCGCTTTGTGCTTGCGATTCCGAGGGGCGTGGAAACATTTCTAATGTCGGGCCGTGATTGGCCGTGAGGACGCCCGCGCTAATGACGGATTGGAGGATTCTTTATGGGGCGGGCTTTTGTGTCATAGCGGTGTCCTGCGTGCGCGTGTGATTCAGGTGAGGAGCTTAGGAAACAAGACAGATTTGAATGGTGTGTACCTTCTTCCAAGTGTTTTTATGATTATTTCCAAGCGGTCATGCTCTGAAATGTTCCACAATCTTAAGAACTGACCTTGTATCTCCTATACCTTAACCCACTGAAGCTCAGCAGGTGTGAGCCTGGCCAATACCTGGAGGGGAGACCTCCTAGGAAAAACTAAGGTTGCTGCTGGAAGAGGTGTTAGTGGGACCAGTAGGGGACTCTCACCTTAAGGTCTGTGTTGGTCCTAATGCCCCAATATAGTGACGGGGACACTATACTGTAAAAAAAGCGCCATCCTTCGGATGAGATGTAAAACCGAGGTCCTGACTCTCCATGGTCATTAAAAATCCCAGGGTGTTTCTCGAAAAGGGTAGGAGTGTTAACGTGGCATTCTGGCCAAATTTGCCATTGGCCTTTAACAATCCTAATAATCCCCCTCTCTGAACTGGCTTCATCACTCTGTTCTCCTCCCCACTGAGAGCTGGTGTGGGGGGAGGGCGGTGGCGCACTCACATCATCCAGGTGGGGCTGCACATTGGTGGTGGCAGTGGGATTCCCCATTACCTGTAAAGCACTTTGAATGGGGTGTCCAGATAAGAGCTGTATAAGGGAGTATATATGATTATATCTGACCGGGTGCAAACGCCCAGGTCGTCTGGGCTCTGGTGATGTGGATTCAGAGAGAGTGGCTCAGGGCGGCGGGTCTCATCCCCCTCTCTCCTCCCCCCAGGCATGATGATGATTTCCATGGACCCCCAGCTCGGCCCCATGCTGTACAAGTGCGATCCCGCCGGCTACTACTGCGGCTACCGCGCCACCTGCGCCGGTGCCAAACAGACCGAGGCCAGCAGCTACCTGGAGAAGAAACTGCGCAAGAGGCCCGACCTGCCCTACGACAAGACCGCGGAGGTACCGGACGCCCCGAACACCAGGGAGCTCCACAGCACACCAGCACAGCTAGCAACAGCATTCACGAAGCAGAGACGGCACAACACCAGACACTAAACCGAGCAGGCACAAACACCGCAGGTTGCGGTATATCAGAACTGAGCCTGACGCAGGGCCTTATGAGGATGCTCAGACAATGGGGTGTTAATGTCTTGTAAAAACAGAGAATAATAATAATATAATAATAATATAATAAACTTTATTTTAGAAAGCGCCTTTAAAGGTGGCTTCTCAAAGCGCTTTACAGGATGACAAGAACAATAAATAAGAAGACTACAACAATAAATAAGATAAGACACAATTACAATTACAATGATACAACAATAACAATAGAGGAGACCGTGGAAGGTGGTGAAGAATGGAACCAGTCAAGTAAAGGCTTTTCTGAAGAAGAGGGTTTTGAGTCTGTATTTGAAGGAGTTTAGAGCAGGTGACTCTCTGATATCCTTGGGCAGAGAGTTCCAGAGCTTGGGGGCATAACAGGAGAAGGCCCTGTCACCCATACAATGTAGACGGGCTTGGGGGACAGTAAGGAGGGCAGAATTTGAAGACCGGAGGTTGCGAGGTGGGGAGTAGGGCGATAATAGTTCAGACAGGTATTGAGGTGCCAAGCCATGTAGAGCCTTGGAATAATAATATTGTGTTTAAACGGGACCAGTGGGACAGTGTGTGTGTGTGTGTGTGTGTGTGTGTGTGTGTGTGTGTGGATGAGTGCAGTGGGACAGTGTGTGTGTGAGCGTGGAGATGAGTGCAGTGGGATAGTGTGAGAGTTTGGATGAGTGCAGTGGGACTGTGTGTGTGTGGATGATGCAGTGGGACTGTATGTATGTGCGGATAAGTGCAGTGGGACAGTGTGTGTGTGGACGAGTCCAGTGTGCGTTTCATGTGTGCTGGAATGTAAAATCACAATGAGACAGTGTGTATCAGCGTGTATCCTGTCTGTCCTCAGCTGGCGATCACCTGCCTGTCCTCCGTCCTCTCTCTTGACTTCAAGCCCAGTGAGATCGAGGTGGGGGTGGTCACCAAAGACAACCCTAAATTCAGGTAGAGAAGATCCCAGCTCTGTCCCACTGCTTCTTCCTGACTGTGGCTGTGTCAGTGTGCCTCACTGCCTCTCTGCATCTTGATATCTTTCAGCACGTCTGTGTGTGACGCTGTCTCTGAGACTTTCTCAGTGTCTCTCAGTCTCTCAGTACGTGACAGTATGTCAACAAGGTTGAGCCGTGCACTGTGCCCTGTCTCATCACGCACCCTTTTCTCACTCCTCCCCCCTGCGGCTAGTTTACAGATGTAAAAAACGGATGTGGGAAGAAGTCCCTAAATGAAGGATGAACACTAACCCTGTGCCCTCCCCCACAGGACGCTGAGTGAAGAGGAGATCGACGCACACCTGGTGGCCATCGCTGAACGAGAATAGAGACACCACCGCACACACATACTGACTGAGTCAGGGGCTTACAGTGTGACACACACTGACACACACACAACTCTGCCAGACACACTGGCCAACACCCACGGACACTGACACACACGCAGATAACACAAAGAAAAACAGCTTCACAAACAGCACATGTCACTGCAGATCTACGAGTGTGTGTGTGTGTGTAGTGCGTATATATTTTTATTACTTTGTAATAAACTTGGAAGACCAACTGCTCTCTCTCCATCAGTCAGGGTGCTGCTTCGTCATGGGTGTGGAACTTTGATTTGGTTCCGTTACAGCTCCTGTCTGGCTTCTACCGCGGAAACCTCATCCCGAAAAATGAAAACCGCACCGTCTTGAGCAAGCAGGTGTACAGACTGCTTTACTACCCTTTTCTGATACACATTTCTATTACAAACTAGGGGTCACACATACGGTAAAACAAATGTTTTGCTTGTGAAACGTACATTTCAAGGCCAGCAGCCAGCAGCTGTGAGCCTGGTCAGAACCTGGAGGGGAGACTCCTGGGAAAGCAGAGGTTGCTGCTGGAAGAGGTGTTAGTGGGGCCAGCAGGGGGCGCTCACCCTGCGGTCTGTGTGGGTCCTAATGCCCCAGTATAGTGACGGGGACACTAGACTGTAAAAAGGCGCCGTCCTTCGGATGAGACGTAAAAACTGACGTCCTGACTCTCTGTGATCATTAAAAATCCCAGGGTATTTCTCGAAAAGAGTAGGGGTGTAACCCCGGTGTCCTGGCCAAATTTCCCCCTGGCCTTTACCAGTCATGGCCTCCTAATAATCCCCATCTCTGAACTGGCTCCACCACTCTGCTCTCCTCCCACTGAGAGCTGGTGTGTGGGGAGAGTACTGGTGCTCTATGGCTGCTGTCTCATCATCCAGGTGGGGTTGCACACTGGTGGTGGTGGAGGGGGATCCCCATTACCAGTAAAGAGCTTTGAGCGGAGTGTCCAGAAAAGAGCTATAGAAGTGTGAGGAATTATTATTAGTACATTTCCTGAAGTGGGTAAAGGCAGACCAGCCAATGTGTCCAGCCCACAGTGTCGGGAAGGTACAGTTAAATCTCGGAGACCACAGCCAAACACAGACCCCACGGGGGAGAAGAAAAGGATGGGGCTGGGTGGCAGGTGTTCAAGAATCACACCCACATCTCCTCCCAGCCGCTCCTGCTGCACAGAGGCCCCAGCATGCTTTTCAGGGAGCGGTCCTAATATTTTGGCCAGTGGGGGGGGGGGGTAAATTTCATTTCACGGATTGTGATTCTTTAGGTTTTCTATGTGTCCCATGTGGGAAATCATTAACATCTCTAGTGCGACATTTGTTTTGTATCAAATCTCACACATTCTGCTGTGCTGGACCCAGTGTTACCACACAGACCTGTCGCGCGAACACTGTCTGAGGGGCAAGAGGGGATTTCAGCTCCAGGTCCGGGAGAGCCATAGTCCAGGGCCGGGGTTTCTAACTTACAGTCCTCGCTGAGCGAGCCAGAAGGCCTAGAGGCCGTGGCAATAAGGGAACAGCGGATTCGGATCAAGTTAACGAGCCTCCGGGGCGGAATGGGAACCTCCAGGACCAGGACCGGGCCGTGTCTGTGAAGTTGACATCAGTTTAAAACACATACAGCACAGCCGGAGTTTCAGACTCTTCAATTAAAAACAAACAAACAAACAAACCCTCTTTCAGGGTTTGAAAACCCTTCTCTTTCAGAGACGCATGCCTGGAGTGTAGGGGTTGAATTCTGAGCCAGGAGCTGCAGGGCTGAGGTGGGGGTCACGTCGCTGAGTCCGTGATGAACCCCGGGGAGAGCCAGGGGGACCCGCCTTGCTGACCAGCTGAAACAGACCGCTGTAAAGGCAGCACTGCCGACTTGGCCTCTTCACCCGGGGAGGGCTGAACGCAGAAAGCTACTCCTTTGTGTTGATGCTCTACAGCGAGCCGGCCTGCTCAGAGCACCGTGCAGTCCAGCAGCAGTGAACCTGCTCGCGCGGACATGATTAACACACTCCCATGAAGCACCAGGGCCTCTCAGTCCTGCCCTGAAGCACCGGCTCTAGTTCCAGCTGGCCTGTCCGAATCAATTAGGCTGACTGATCTCTGGCTGCTTACGCAAGAAATTAGACTCATCAAACACTGCCTACAATCTCCAGATTTCAATGAAGGATGAGATCAGAAGTGAAGAAACCCGTAGACGATGTAGGGTGGTGGATGTGGCTGAGAAGACGCGAGAGGCGAGGTGACGGTGGTATGGACAGATCATGAGGAGGGACGTTGAGGAAGTAACAAAGAGGGTAATGGGATTTGAGGTGGAAGGTAGCAGGGGGAGAGGCAGGCCTAGAAAGAGATGGAGGGATTGTGTGAGAAAAGATATGGAGGTGTGTGAAGTGAGT